ATTTTTTAAAAGTGAATGCATTGCCTGTGCTTCAATTGCACTGAGACAAAAAAGTTTTTTCTGGCAGAAAAGGTCTGTAGACACCACATAACCTTCTTCCCCACCCAACACAACAGCAACACGCAGAACATTGCTTGAAGCTGCAAGGTCAGTGGTTGACCATACCATGAGAATGGGAGGATCTACTTGTCTTTGGGATCATCCCCAGGAGAGGTAAATTTAATGAATGGAGAAGAGGTTGACCCCTGGATGTTATACTCTCCTTAGATGACTTCTAAAAATCTATTGGATCTTCAATACCAGGTTACACAGAGAATGGGCAAATAAAGAGGTTAAAGGTCCATTAAGCAATTTAAATCTTTCAATCAGGGTATCAGCTGGAGATCTGAGGAAGATGTGGCTGAGACTTACAGTACCACGGAAGAGTAGGAAAAAAGCCCTTAATTTTCTTGTACCAATTTTAATTTGTAACTCTGACAGTCAAGTGGGGTTTATCCCTACAAGATATACACACACGTCCAGATAAGTCCACCAATCTTGATTTCTTCAAATACAAAAGTTACCTGTCTTCAATGTAAAGTCCCAATCAAGTTATGTTATGCTGGTCCCTCAAGTCATGAGGAAAACCGTGACCAACATTACATTTTTGTAAGCAGGTTTAGCCACTGTTTATACCCTTCTAAAAAGCAGTTCCTTCTACAGCAAGCTGAATTAAATTAAGAGCCCCTACAAAATCATTCAGGAACACTCTTGTTCCACAAAAGGGCTGTTTTTATCCTGGCCTTGTTATCCTTTCCCTCACTCCCACCCCCAACACAATATATGACATGGCATTACCTAGCCTGAAAATCTTGGTAACAAATAATCCAGTCGTAGCTTCATAACACTATTGCGATATTACATACAAGTCTCCTTAGGAATCAACACAGTTGGCTCTGGAAAGCATAAGCAATACTTCACAGTTGTGTTCTGAAGCCTAAGAATAGGACACCTGTACTCCAAGAAACAGGCCTAAATGAAAAACAAATTCAAGAAGTGATAAAACTTTATAAAAAACTATGACCAGACACTAAAAATAGGAGGAATTAGAATCACTGGGCTTTTATGAACTGGGAACTGACTTGAGAGATGCTGACTGACTGATTGCACTGTTACCTTCACCATGGTAAATGGTCAGTTGTAGGACACACCACAGCTATAAACATTAAAGACATTTTTTAGCAGATTATCAACTAGAAGGGGAAACAGTAAGATAGGTGGTAACATCCAGTGTGAAGAAACACAGCTATTTTAATTAATGTAGCTAAAACTGGAGAAGACTTGGAAACGTCAGTAAAAGTAGGTAAATGAATTAAGATGGTACATGCAATTTAAAATCCATCTAAACTTCATGGAGTTTTTTTGAAACTCAAAGTGCTCCTTTTACAGGGAAGGTGTTAAATATAAACTCACTGGCAACACAGGGTGAGAAGGAGAAGCTGACATATCCTTATGGATATCTGTAGGAAAACTCACGTTTGGCAAGGAGCAGTTTAACATGTTTGCTTTACTGGGACAAGAGGGGTAGCAGATAGTTCAGAAAGCTTTTATTCTTTATTGTCTAATACTTACTTAGCAGTACCCAACTGGAAAGTCCATTTACTACAGAACTCAAAGTAGTAGCTTTGTGGGTAATTTTTTGTAGCGAGAGGAGTGTTCTTAAATAGGCTTCCCTTCTACCGTACCAATGGTATTCCTCTCCCTTCACAAAAACACTAGACAGCCCAAAACCATGATCAAGAACACAGTAACTCACTTGGCATGAAACTGAACATCTCAACCACAGCTGGTGTTGGTTATCCTCATCAGCACATGACAAAGCATAATAGTAGAAGCTCATTCTTTCCCTTTTAGCAACCAAAGGGACAGCGCACTCCTTAGCTTTCATCACAGGAATTTACTATTCTTTCTTTTTCTTCTCATGGCATTGTCTTGTATCTATTCCAGAGGATATTTTCTTATGCATTTTTAACTCCCAGTGCCTATTATTTTTAGTAGCTTTTCATCTCCACAAGAAATTTAATCCACAACTAAAAAGTTACCGTGTAACTTGCAGGTTACTCTACAACTCATTCTTGTCATTCTTCCAATTCTCCACTCCTCCCTCTTGCACCATTTCACGTTCATAGTGGGAACAACTAAAAGAAGAGTGTTTAAAAGTGGAATCTACCTGCAGAGCAAAGAAAAAGCTAGCCAGCAGCAGAGGAGAAAGAACCCAGAATGCTGAAGCACAGACTATGGGTGAAAGCAAGCTATACCAAGCCCTACTTCCAGTATTTCTTCTTGTTTCAAACCATGTGCGTGTACAAAGAACTCCATAAAAGTAAAAGTCTTATTACAAAAATATTAGATATGGCTTCCAAAATAGTTCTAACACTGACAGAAAATGTGATTATTTACTTGGGACCCCTTCTGTTGTGCTCTGAAAGTACCAAGGAGATCATTAGTTGACACAACCTTACAGTTCAGTAAAATAAACTCCCCCCTGCAATCACAGAACTTTCAACAGTTTTAGACAGACACCATAGAACAAATTCAGTGTGCTCCTAGCCTCTAATACAGCTTGTTTCATCAAGATGTTGCATGAATGTATTTTCTAATTTAATTCTTTAGTACAACAAGTTACTGGAAACCTAGGTGCTTCTGTCCAGAAAAACTGAACAAGGACAGAACATGTTTAATCATTACTGAACTGCCCCATCCTCCATTATTCCTCCAAGAAGGCTCCACAGCACATATTAAAATTCTGCAGAATCCAAACAAGTATTTATTTCTGTTGCAGGACACATCGTTTAGTAGTTCCGTTTAGTAGTACCATTCTCTGTGACATTTTCAACACTAAAAAAGGTTGAATATCTATCCCATATAAACCAGAAACAGAAATCATATGCTAAAGTGTGTCAGAAATTTGATGTTTCTGCAATTGACATACAGGTCCCTCAGCTCCTGCTCCAGACCCTCTACTGCCCTTTGCCATGCTGCGGCAGCTAGGTATACATTAGCAAGTAGTGTAACCCAGCACAGGCAGACTTGTTGTGTGGGAGCTGAGGACTCAACATCCCCACTATACACATCTAAAAGGTACTTTACTTAAGGCTAGGTCTAACCTGGTGCTGCGGACCCAAGGCCTGTTAGCAGTTGGCACGCAATAGGCCTGTTTCCAAAAGGCAGCTTCTATTTCCATTTCAGCCAGAAGAAACCCTGTGCAGTCTAAGAAAGCTTAGACAGTAAGAGAAGACCAGGAACTTCACTTTACAAGTGCAGACTCCCAAGCTGAACCAAACCCTGAAGCAGGTTCAGAGATGAAGACTAGAGATAAGCAAACCCCCTGAAGCATTTACAGAACAAACGTTAGCTCCTCAGCTCAGCTGCTTCTCCAGAGGTGCTCCTTGCTGCCACACTACTTGCTAACTCGGTGGACGTATCTTGTACTGGCTGCCCCTGCTCATGTGCCAGATGCACAGGTCTGCAGCTCCAGTCTGCACCACTCTATATTGTCAGACGTCACTGTGGTGCTCGTGCATACGTACCGGCATGGTACAGCACGGTGCAGAGTCACCACATGCCCTCCGCTAGACTGCCACTCGCCTACTACCTCCTCCTCCCATCTCAGCAGCTGCCAGCCACAGGGATGGGCACCTACGCTGTGGGCAGAGGCATCTCAGGGCCCCAGGAGAAACGACCTGTCCCTGCCACTACTGAAAAGATTTCGTTCAGCCTTCTTTTTAAACAAGTTGGGGGGTACAGGAAGAAACCAAGGCCATCCTTCCTTCCACTGAAGTAAATGTAGATTCCTAGACCCTCCCAGAACTCAGGCTGCTTTCAAATCTCTGTTTTGTCATGGGAATACAAAAATATCTGGAAATATTCTACACCCACAGGTCTGAGTACAATTTTTTTTTTTTTTTAAAAATTCCCCTCTTAATTCTACCCCTTGAACCTGGGAAGCAGAGGATATACACAGTCCCTTCATGTTTGAAAGGGGCATACAGTTTAAAATGCTTTAGAAACAGACACATTCCAGCTATGTTTCAAATCCACAATTAATTTGACTCCTGAATTGGGGTAAGTTTTCAAAACCGCTAATTAATCTAAAAGTGATACAGGTAAACGGCCGTACTTGAAACATATACTTCAACTATTCATACAGTAATAATTTAAAAGATAAAACAGAACTTAATTACATTCCCCCAAATCCTAATTACACTGTGAACAGTCTGCTTATAATACTTTGTGTGACTGTATTTGTTTAGCAAACAGATATTTAATCTTATTCTAGCATTTACATTCACCATGGATCCTTAAGGAAAAAAATCCTATTAATTCAGTCACTCTCAGCATTTGTTTAAAGAACAGTTTGACAAAAAAAATATTCCCTCTACTATATGTCATTGTGGCGTCTCTTTCCAAACTGTTTCACAAATCTGCTTTAAGACTTTCTATTATACTAGCCATACTAGCCAGGGATTACTCCTTTTTGTAGCTTCCCAGCTAATGCCTACAATAAACAGCAGCAGAAAGTAGACTTCTGTTTCGGGGTGACACTCAGGTGAGGGAGATTACTGAAAAAATGTTTTGCTAGTGT